GAGCCCTGCTAAGCCCTGCTAAGCCCATGCCAAGCCTTGCTAGCCCCTGCTGAGCGCCGCTGAGCGCTGCTAAGCCCTGCTATCCCCTGCTGAGCCTTGCTAAGCCCTGTTCGCTCCACTAAGCTCTACTGAGCCCCTTGCTAAGCTCTACTGTTCTTGCGCGGCGCGCGGCGCGCGACGCGCCGCGGAATTTTGTTTTCTGATTTGTGCGAGGTGCTAAAGATATCGCTCTGCGAAGACGACCCCCTGAAAATATTAAATATTGGTGCGGTGCTAACGATAGCCCCGGGGGGGTTCTTAAAGGCTTACCGGGGCTATTCAGGAGGAGTAGGAACGGAGGGGGGAAGGAGAAGGAGAAGGAGGACGAGGCGGAGGACCAGTGCAAGCCGAAACCTCATCAGCGATGTTGCAAAACAACCTTCCCTCATAACTCCCTCTTCATAGGCTTCTAGAAGGTTTCATTTTCACTGCGGGAAGAGCTCCGTTGGCAGACTCCGTCTGGAAATGCTCAATCGTGCTGAAGCACCACTCCTGGGACGCCAACGCCGCAAATCAACGTAACTTTCGCGTACTGACAGTTTGAAATCGTGCCAGACTACCGTTCCTGGTACTGCAGCGCCGCGAATTAGAGTAGCTGTCGCGTCCTGACATGCCTAGACCGTGCCAACACATGTTCGGGGACGCCAGCCGCAAGAGTTTTTGAAATTGCGTAGATTGTTAGCACGAGTGTGTGCGGCGCTAGTGCGAGAGCCACATTTTGAAAACCACCCGCCCTCCATCCGTGAAGCAGTTGCAAACAGTTGAAACGAATGTGCGCGGCGTTAAAAAGAAAAACACAGTTTGAAAGCGACCTGCCCTCCGTCCGGGAAGCTCTTGCAAACGTTTAAGGCGAATGTGCGCGGCGCTGGGGCGAGAGCCACATTCTGAAAACGGGCCGCCTTCAACCCGTGCAGCTTTTGCAAACTTGTAACCGTGCGCGAGCTGCGATAAAAAAAGATAATCACATTTTGAAAACCACCAGCCCTCCACCCGTGAAGCCGCTGCAACGTTGTGCGACGAACTTGGGCGGCGCGAAGGCGAAGGCCACAATTTGGAAAGCGACCCGACATCCATCCGTGAGGCTGTTGCAAATTGATAGCCAAATTAAACAGCTTGGGGATCACAAGCGTTGAGGAAGTTTCAAGAGAAACGTCTGGCCCACCCTGCCGACATGTTCCGGGGGGCGACAGGGGGGGGGGCATTCATAAGGCAGAGGGCTGGAGGACGAGAAGGAGAGGGCGAAGGGGATATGGAGCGAGAGTGGGAGTGGCAGTCGGGGGAAGAGGAAGGGCAGCCCTGCTCCCGCTCTTGTCCTTCACGTATAGTTTTTTCCTTGTTGCACCCCGAGACTTGTCGGTAGGGCAGGTCGGGCGTTTCGCTGGGGATTCCTCCATCATTTGTGACCCTGGAGCTTCACACGTGCAGCAGCTTCGCGGATAGAGGGCGGGTGGTTTTCAACATGTGGTTCGCCTTGTCGCCGGGCACATTTGTCTTAACCGTTTTCAAGAGTTGCGCGGGTGGGGGACGGGTCGTTTTCAACACGTGGTTCTCGCAGGAGCGCCGCGCACATTTTTTTAAAAAGCTTGCAATGCGTTTCACATATGGAGGGCGGCTCTTTTTTCGAACTGTGGTTATCGCCCCAGTTTCACGGATGCATGCGATTCTCACCTTAGCGCCGCGCGCATTCGCACCAAAGTTTGCAAGAATTTCGCAAATGAAGGCGGCTTCTTTGCAAAACGTTGTTCTCGCCTTAGCGCCGCGAACATTCGTCTTAAACGTTTACACTCGTTTCAAGGATGCGCATGGCTGACATTCTAAAAGTTGCATGTCGGCAGGATGTAGGACTGTCAGGGCGCACCAGTCACGTTGATTCGCGGCGTCGAGGTCCCAGGAAGGCTGTTCTGGCACGGTTCAGGCTGTTTTTGTTGCAGCGAGGCATTCCCCACAGTGGAAATGAATTATTGTAGGGACTTGTGAAGGGGGAGCGTGGAGGGAGGGCGTGCTGCAACATCGTTAGTGCGTTTTGGGTGTGCGCGGGTCCTCTTCATCCTCGTCCTCGTTCCTTTCCTCCTCGTCATTCTCCTCCCTCTCCTCCTCCGCCGCCCCCCCCCTTTTTTATCCCCCCCTTGTCCCATCCTCTTCCATCCCTTTTCCCTTAAAAATAGCTCCTCCAGATCGAATCCATGCACGTGTCGGTAGTGAGGGCCGGGCGTTTCGCTTGAGACTTCCTCACCGTGTGTGATCCTGGAGCTTAGCAGTTGCAGCGGTTTCACGGATGAAGGGCGGTTCTTTTTCAACATGTGGTTCTCGCCCTGGCGCAGCACATTTTTCTAAAACGTTTGCAGCATTTTCAGGGACGGAGGGTGGTTGGTTTTCAAAATGTGGTTTTATTTTTGTGCCGCGCACGTTCGCGCCCAGAGTTCCAATCATTTCGCGGATGGAGGAAGGGCCGTTTTCAACATGTGGTTCTGGCCTTCGTGCCGCGCACATTCATTGTCAAAGTGTGCAAGAGCTTCGCGGATGGATGGCAATTGCTTTTCAGTACGTGGGTTTCGCTTTGGTGCCGCGCACATTCGCTTTCAAAGACCGCAAAGGCTTCCCGGATGGAGAACGGCTCAATGTGGCTCTCGCCTTAGCGCCGCGTTTGCTCGTTTTTATCAAAGTTTGCAACAGCTGCACGGATGGAGGGCGGGTCGTTTTCACAATGTGGTTCTCGCCCTACGCCGCGCACATTCGCTCTAAGATGTTGCACAAGTTGGACGGTGCACTGCGGTTTCTTTTTTTAAGTGTGGCTCTCGCCTGAGCGGTTCGCACATTCGTTTTGACATGTTGCACGAGCTTCACGGATAGAGGGCGATGTCTTTTCAAAATGTGGTTCTCGCCCCAACGCCGCACACATTCGTTCGAACATTTAGTGAGAGCTCCGCGGATGGAGGGACGCTCCTTTTCGAAATGCGAGTCTCTCCGCAGCGCCGCGCGCATTCGTATTGAAAGTCTGCAAGAGCTTTATGGATGTAGGGCGGTTCCTTCTCAAAATATGGCTCTCGCCTCAGCGCCCCGCACATCATTCGCTTCAAAAGTTTGCAAGGGCTTCACGGACGGAGGGCGGCTAGTTTTCAAAAGGTGGTTCTCGCCTCAGCGCCGCGCACATTTGTCTTAAGCGTGTGTCAAGGATGAAGGACGGCTCTTGTTCAGCATGTGGCTCTCGCCTGAGCGCCGCACACATTCAAGCGTGTACAACAGTTGACTGGTTCTTATGGCTGGCGTCCCAGGAAGTAGGGTCCAGCGCGACACAGGACTGACAGGGCGCAACCGTCACGTTTGTGGTGTTGCAGTCCCCAGGATGGTGTGCAGGCAAGATGCACGACCGTCAGGACGCAGCAGGAAAGTGCATTCGCGGCGTTGGAGTCCGAAGAGTGGTCTTTTGGCACGGTTGCTATTTTTCAAACGGTTGATTTCCAACGGGGCATTTCCAGCAAGGAAAAGACAAGGTTGCAATAATCTATGAATAGATAATTCGGAGGGGGTTATTGTAACATCGCTGATGCGTCTTGGATTTACACCAGTCCTCCTCGTCCTCCTCCTCTTTCTCCGCCTCCTCGTCGTTCTCCTCCTCGTCCTCGTCCCCCTCCTCCTCGTTCTCCTCCGCCTCCTTCCCCCCGCATCTCACACGACGGCGGAACGGTGCAGATTCTTGAGGCGAGCTTCCGTCAGGGAGGCGGAATTGAGGAAGGCGGATGGGGGGATGAGGAGAAGGCGGAGGCGGAGGAGGAGGAGGAGGACGAGGAGGAGAAGCGGGAATGTGGAGCGGGGAGGATAAGGAGGAGGGGGAGGAGGAGGACGAGGAGGAGGAGGCGGAGGCGGAGGCGGAGGCGGAGGCGGAAGCGGAGGAGGATGAGGAGGAGGAGGAGGAGGAGGAAGAGGAGGAGGAGGAGGAGGAAGAGGAGGAGGAGGAGGAGGAGAGAAGAAGACGAAGAAGGAGGAGGAGGAGGAGGAGGAGGAGGAGGAGGAGCGGTGGGGGTTCGCGCTGGCGGCGCCGTCATTGCGCCGCCAGCCGAGGCCGCCGAGGAGAAGGAGCGCGCGGAGCGGAAGCGGAAGGCCGAAGAGAAGCGGCGCCAGGAGGAGCCGCCGCCCACTCCCCCCATTCCCGCCCTCGTCGGCGGGGAAGGGGGGGGAGGGGGAGGAGGAGGAGGAGGAGGAGGAGGAGGAGGAGGAGGAGGAGGAGGAGGAAGAGGAGGAGGAGGAGGAGGAGGAGGAGGAGGAGGAGGAGGAGGAGGAGGAGGAGTGCAAACCCAAGACGCAGCAACGATGTTGCAGCAAGCTCTAACCGCTGGGAAATCCGGAGCCGTGCACGAACATCACGTCTGGCACTCTAATTCCGCGAATCAATTTTACTGCCGCGAACTAGCGATTCTGCACAGTGCCAGCACACCATCACTGGGATCCTAACACCGCGAATTCACTTGACTGGTGCGCCCCGTCAGTCCAAGTTCGTGCCGGAGCACCATTCCTGGAACGTGCACCGTACAAGCCTGGTGAGTGGTCGTAGAGTTTTCAGACGAACGTGCGCGGCGCTGACGCCAGAGCCACATTTTGAAAGCGACCCGCCCTCCACGCGCGAAATTCTTGCATTTTTTTTTGTGACGAAGGTGCGCGGCGCTCCGGCGAGCAGGCGAGAGCCACATGCTGAGAGCCGCCCGCCCTCCAGCCGTGAAGCTCCTGCAAGTTGTTGAGACGAGTGTGCGCTGCGCCCAAGCGGGAGCCACATGTGGGAAACCACCCGCCCTCCATCCGTGAGGCTCTTGCGACATTTGAAGACGAGTGTGCGCGGCGCTGGGGCGAGAACCGCATCTTGAACACTGCCCCGCCTTCATCCGCGAAGCTCTTGCAAACTTTGATGGCGAATGTGCGCGGCGCTCGGGCGAGAGCAGCCCTTTTGAAAACCACCCGCCCTCCGTTCGTCAAGCTGCTGCAAAGCATAAGCTCAAGGGTCATAGATGGTAAGGAAGTCTCGGGCGAAACGCCCAGCCCGCCCTACCGACACCTCTCCGGGTGCGACAGACAGGAGATGTTTCTACGGGAAAAAGAATGGAGGCGAAGGATGAGTCGGAGGAGTAGAAGAAGGAGGAGGCGAAGGAGTAGGGGGAGGTGGAGGAGGATGACGACGACGACGAGGACGATGGTAAGGAGAAGGCGGAGGAGACGGAGGAAGAGGAGAAGGAGGAGGAGGAGGAGAAGGAGGAGGAGGAGGAGACCAATCTCGGACGAAGTCTCTCTTGTCGCTTCGGTTCCTAACTTGTTCCTGCTCGCCTCCTTTTCGCTCGGGTGTGGAGTGGTCCTGTGTGCGGCAGTTCCTGGCCTCTCGAGCCTCACAGGGTTTTTCCATGTGAGTTGATGGGCGGTCGCCAGCCCTCCCGTGCAGCCTCGTGCGGCAGGTCTGTGGCACTGTTTGAGGCAGCCGCCGATGGCAGAGGAGGGGGAGGAGGAGGAGGAGGAGGAGGGGGAGGAGAAGGACGAGGAGGAGGAGGAGGAGGAGGAGGAGGAGGAGGCGAGGGAGGAGGAGGAGCAGGAGGAGGAGGAGGAGGAGGCGAGGGAGGAGAAGGAGGCGGACCCGCGCACGCTCGGCGGCGGCGGGCTCACCTCCCGCGCGGCACGGCGGCGGGTCGCGGGCGCGGGCGCTTGCCCCTCCTCGGTCCTCGCCTCTCGCGGCGTACCCTGACGCTGGTGACCGCGAGGCCTTCGCCCTCGTGGTGCGCGGGAGCACCTTGTCGAAGTCCGCTCTGAGAGGCCGCGGGGGCCCCCCGCTCGACCCGGTGGTGGTGCTCGTGCCGCTGCGCTTGCCGTCGGGCTCGAGACATCATGGCTGATCTCGCTTCTCCACCTCCTGGTCCGCCGCCGGGAGGGGGCCCCACTCACCCTGGAGGTCCTCCGCTCCCCAGCGGCGTTCTGCGCACGTGCCGCTCTCGGCGCTGCAGGTGGTGGCATCGGGCTCGATCGCTCCGCCTCCCTCCAGCCCACGTCTTGGCGACCACTGCGCGGGCCCTCCGCATGGCCCTGCTGACGCCTCCGACGCTGTAGCTGATGGTGTTGGGCTCCGTCTTCGCCTCTACGTAGTAGTAGCTAGCATACTTAGGCGCGCGTTTCGCCTCGTACGCCGCAGCCTTCTCTCGCATGGCCCGCCCACACCCCGCGCGTAGGCTGCCGCCTGGCTCATCCTTCACCTCTTGCTGCCACTGCCCGTGTTTCTCGAACGCACGGCTCTGGCTTTCTGGAAGCTGCCACTGTCCGTCCTCCTCGCGCACACAGTGTCCGTCCTCGTGAGGCTACCACCACCCGTCCTCTGCAGGCTGCCACTGCGCGTCCTCCTCCTCCTCCTCCTCCTCCTCCTCCTCCTCCTTCTCCTCCTCCTCCTCCTCCTCCTCCTCCTTTCCCTCCTCCTCCTCCTCCTCCTCCTCCTCCTCCTCCTTCTCCTCCTCCTCTTAGCGCCGCCACTGCCCGTCCTTCTCGCACGCACGGTTCTCGCCCAGCGTCCGCCACTGCCCGTCCTTCCCGCATTGCCCGTCTTTCTCGCGCGCGCAGTTCTCGCCCTCTTGGCGCTGCCACTGCACGTCTCCTTGTGACTGCCAATGCCCGTCCTTCTCGCACGTGCGGTACTGGACCTCTTGGAGTAGAGCTGCCACTGCCCGTTCGCGTGCAGCTGCCACTGCCCGTTTGCCTGAGGCTGCCACTGCCCGTCCGTTTGGCACTCACGGTAGTGGCCCTCTTGAAGTTGCCATTGCCAGTCTTCTCGCACGCACACGGTCCGTCTTCTGGAGATGGCCATTTCCGGTCTTTCTCGCACACACGGCCCTGGCTTGCGCGAAGCTGCCACTGCCCTTCCGCTTCGCACGCACAGTGTCCGTCTTCGTGGAGCTGCGATTGCCCGTCTGCTTGAGGCTGCCGCTGCCCGTCCTTCTCGCACGTACGGTCGGCGCCCCCTCGGATCTGCCACTGTCCGCCCTTGTCGCACGCACAGTACCCGTCGTCGTGTAGCTGCCACTGCCCGTCCTTCTCTCATGGCTGCCACCGCCCGTCACTCTCGCACGCGAGGCCTGGTCCCTCTTGAAGCTGCCACTGCCCGCCGCTCTCGCGCGCACGGTGCCCGTCTCCCTGAGGGCGCCACTGCCCTCCCTCGAGGTTCTGGGCCCCCACGCGCACCCCATCGCTCGGTCCCTCCTCCCGGCCCCGCTCACCCTCGTAGATCTCAGTCCGCGGGAGGCCCTACCAGGGCTGGTGCCGGGGCGCCCCGTCCGCCTCCCAGGCGCAGCCTGCGCTCGGCGCGTCCTCGGCTGCGGCTCGCTGCCCTGGGGGCCACCCTCCGACGACGGCCCCATCGCTCGGTCCCTCCTCCCGGCCCCGCTCCTCCTCGTAGGTCTCCGCCCACGTGAGGCGCTGGTGCTTGGGCGCCCCGTCCGCCTCCCAGGCGTAGCCTGCGGTCGGCGCGTCCTCGGTTGCGGCTCGCTGCCCTGGGGGCCCCCCTCCGGCGACGGGCCCTTCACCACGGCGCGGCCTGCAGCATCCCCACGCGCCGCCGCAGGGCATTCGCGCCTACTCCTGGCGCTGGGGGCGACGGCTCGGCGGGCCCCGCGCCGCGAGGAGGAGGAGGAGGAGGAGAAGGACGAGGACTAGGAGGAGGAGGAGGAGGAGGAGGAGGAGGAGGAGGAGGAGGAGGAGAAACGGCTGAGCAGGAGGAGGAGGAGGAGGAGGAGGAGGAGGAGGAGGAGAAAGGAGAGGAGGAGGAGGAGGAGGAGGAGGAGAGGAGGAGGAGAAAGGGAGGAGGAGGAGGAGAAAGGGAGGAGGAGGAGGAGGAGGAGGAGGAGGCGGAGGAGGAGGAGGAGAGGAGGGTGGAGGAGGAGGAGGAGGAGGAGGAGGAGGAGGAGGAGGAGGAGGAGAGGAGCAGGAGGAGGAGGAGGAGGAGGAGGAGTGGAGGAGGAGGAGGAGGAGGAGGAGGAGGAGGAGGAGGAGGAGGAGGAGGAGGAGAGGAGGCGGGGGTTGAACCGCCCCTCCCTCGGGTGCTCTCTCGCCCCTGCGGTTTCTCTGGAGGGTCAGGGGGGGGGAGGGCCTCTCACCAACCCTCTGAACCCGTTCGTCCTTGTCGTCCTCGCCGCGTCCAGCGCTCCTCCTCGCCGTCGCGGCCTCGCTCTTCGTGCTCCCGAGGCTTCCCCGGGCAGGATCGGAGATGTGTCAGGAAGCTGGGCGCACGTGGCGTTGCCAGCCTGGGCGACGGCCAGACACGCCTGTGGCCGCACGCCTTCCCAGCGCTCGGCCCCTCCGTGGCAGGGCACGCTGGGCCCCCGCGCGTCGTGTCGTCGTCGTCGTCGTCGTGGTCGTCGTCGTCGTCGTCGTCGTCGTCGTCGTCGTCGTCGTCGTCGTCGTCGTCGTCGTCGTCGTCGAGTCGTCGGGGATGCCGCGGTTGGCGTTTTTTTTTGGGGGGGGGCACGCCGAGTTCGGCTTAAATCGGACATGCCCCTCGACAGGAAGAATACTTCAAAATAGCCAGAAAAAATGTGGTGACGATTTATTCATTCTGTTCGAGCGTTTTTCGAATATGTTCTGATTATTTCTTATTTATCGTGCAAAATCCCCCTGCAGGGGGACAGGCCCGACCTAGATTTCGGCCAGGGCTGGGGCCCCGCTGGGGCCCCAACCCTGAGGTGTGTCCCGCTCTCGCCTCGGCCAGTAGCGCCGGCGTCGCGAGCTTCTGCCCGCGCTCGCGTGTGGCCGCACGCCCTCCCGGGCGTGGACGGTTTCCCCCGGGGCCGTAGGTGACCCGAGGAGGAGGAGGAGGAGGAGGAGGAGGAGGAGGAGGAGGAGGAGGAAAGAGGAGGAGGAGGAGGAGGAGGAGGAGGAGGAGGAGGAGGAGGAGGAGGAGGAGGAGGAGATGAGGACGGGTCGCTTGAGCCCTTCGGAGAAACTCTCCACTCGGGCGCTGGGCCCCTCTCCATGGCAGGGCACACTGGCCTTCGCGCGCTGCATCCAGCGCTCGGCCTCCCCTGGCTCCCGTTCCGCCCTGCGTTGGTTCGTTTTCCGACTTGCAGTTGTGTCGGGGATGCGCCCCGAAGGGTGCGAAAACGTAGAGCGGCAGTTTCCGCCTCAGCGGATGTTTCCGCAAAGGTATGGCGGAAGCAGCGACGGCAGAGTAGAGCGGAAGTTGGCATCCAAGGAGCTTGAAAAGTAGGGTGGGCATTTCCGCCCTATTTGCGAAATCGCCCAGAGCAGGGCGGATCTGGAGTCAGGGATGTTGTCAGAGTGTTCTGGGGCGCTCTGGACCGGCTCTGGAACGGCCGCGGCACCCCACGCATCCTCCAGCAACGCTGGATCTCAGAGATCCCCGATTCCCTGACCTGAGATCTGGGAGTTGCAATCTGTTTTACACCGCGCGTTTTCGCCCAGTTTCGGGCCCCAGGACAATCACAGAACGAGAGGGTTCGAAAAATGTCGCAGGAAGATGTGGTCTAGGGCCCCTGTCGCGATTTTTCGATGTTGCAATTTTTGCTGCCGCGTCGGATCTCAAGATGCATCCTCCAGGAGCGCCCGATCTCAGAGATCCCCGACTGGCCCCAGTCCGATGTTGTTCTGGCCATGGCCTCACCTTACGTGGTCGGCTGTCTCGCATCTTCCCGCGCCGCAAGGGCCCCGAGCCCTTCCCCTGCGGCCGCCGTTCGGGCCGATGCAGCCCAGGCAGCCTCCGATATGGCAGCTTCAATCCGCGGCCTTTCAGAGCTCCGGGGGTGCAGGGTTTCTCCGAAGGGCTTAAGCGACCCGTCGTCGTCCTCCTCCTCATCCTCCTCCTCCTCCTCCTCCCTCCTCCCTCCTCCCCCTCCCCCTCCCCCCCTCCCCCTCCCCCCTCCTCCTCCTCCTCCTCCTCCTCTCCTCCTCCTCCTCCTCCTCCCTCCTCCTCTCCTCCTCCTCCTCCCCTCCTCCTCCTCCTCCTCCCTCCTCCTCCTCCTCCTCCTCCTCCTCCTCCTCCTCCTCCTCCTCCTCCTCCTCCTCCTCCTCCTCCTCCTCCTCCTCCTCCTCCCCCCCCTCCTCGGGTCGCCTACGGCCCCGGGGGAAACCGCGCACCGGGGGGTAGCTCTGAGTTCCTGGGGCCCGATCGCGGGCCCTGAAGGCCGAGATCGAGGAGGAACGCCTGGTCTGGGCAGGCTTAAGTCGGGCCTGTCCCTCTACAGGGGGACTTTTCAAAAATAGAGAAAAAATAGTTTGGGGACTATTTTGTTAATATGTTTGGGCATCTTTTGAACATTTTTGGGGGACTTTTTATTTTTCGTCCAAAATCCCCCTGTAGGGGGACAGGCCCGACCTAAGAGCAGGCCCCACCGCCAGAGGTCTCGACACGCGCCCCAGGGGCCGAGGAGTCCAAGAGAAGCGCCGGCATGGCGAACACGGGACCGCCGGAGGTGCCAGAGAGACGAGAGACCCTGCAGCACCCGAGGCCGGCCGGCCCTCCGCCGGGCAGGAGCAAGAGCAGTGGGAGCGCAACTTCCGGAGCCAGTTCGCCAGCGAGGCGCGCCAGATGGAGGAGAATCGGCGGGAGCAGCGGGACCGGCCCCCGCGCCCTCGGCCTCGCCGTGCCTCAGGCAGTGGCGAAGCGTCCTGGCGTGCCTATAGGCTTACCAAACGATGCTCTAAGAACCTCTTGTTGTCTGCACGACATGTTCTTAGAACATGTCTGGCCAGGGGTGTTTTAGTTTAACACATCAGGTGTATGTTCTAAGAACACTGTTTTCGTTCTTAGAACATTTTCGGGTTCTAAGAACACTTCGTGGTAGGCCCATAGAAATGCCGCGACGGTCGGTCCCTGCTCAAGTGCCTCGCGTGCCGCCTCTTTTGGCCGTCCCTGCCTCCCCAGGCGCCCTCGCGCTGTGACAAAGATCGTGACGGGAGGTTGTTCCATATTTTCGGGCTCCGGGGGCCCTTCCCCGGCCTCGGGGCCGCCAAAAACCGATCCAGGATGGAAAACTGGTCCCGGGGAAAGGGTCCAGACCTCTGAGGGTCGACGCCGTGAACAAAAGTCACGACGTCGGGGGTCTGGGCCTCTCGCCGCCTCTTTTGGCCGTCCCTGCCTCTGGATCCGCCGTCCTTTGCTTGGCTCTCTGGCGTCAGGCTGTGTCGGAAACACTTCGAAATGGGTGCGAAGAAAAGTGCACGGGACGGAACCTCCCACCTCGGAAGAGTCGGGCGGACATTTCCGCGAAGGTGATTTTTCGGCTTCCGGGGGGTCCTCGCTAGATTCTAGGCCTCCTAGATGGGGTCGGAGTAGATGGGGTCGGAGGATCGCCCCGAATCGTCGATGCATCGCCGATGCGGCTCGATGTGCAGCCCGATTTGCTCCACGTCGACGTCGCCGATGCCTCGCCCACGTCGACGATGCATCGCCGGTGCATCGCTGATGCATCGCCGATGCATCGCCGATGCATCGCCGATGCATCGCCGATGCGGGGCGATCCTCCGACCCCATCTACTCCGACCCTATCTAGGAGGCCTCTATAGATCCTGGGACGATCAAGAAACGACGCAGGACGAAAAGCCGGCCCCGGGAGAAGGCTCGGGGCCCGGAGCTGAAAAGATCAAGACGTCGGATGTCTGCGCTCCCCCCCGCCGGAGAGCTCCCTCCTGGTCTCCCCCTAGCCCAGCTGCGGATCCGCCGGATACCTGGGGCGAGTTCGCAAGCAGAAATTCAGAGGCCAGCAACATATGTACACGTACGCGGTTAGTTTCCCCTGGAGTGCGTGTCAACGCGGACGTTCGTGCAGGTAACACCGCTGAGGGCGTACATGTACATATGTCGTTGCTCGCCCAGAAATGGTCTAGACATCTCTGGTGGTTTGCGCGAAATGGTCTTTAGAACATTTTTGTCTGCCACCACCCACCAAACCACCCCAACTCAACCCGAAGGCCTCCATTTGGGGGGGTCGGGGAACACTGACAAAAACACATGGAACACGCACCCCCCCAACCCGAGATTCTGGTCAAATGTGGGTCTTCGGGTTGGGTTGGGGTGGTCTGGTAGGTAGTCAGTCTGAGACCGTCATGTTTACATCAGGTTCACGTTCTCAGAATCTGGTTCTTGTTATTTATATTAGGACATCTAGCAGCATTTCGTGGTAGGCCTTCAGATGCGTCAGCGATGTTGCAATACGGCCTCCCGTCCTAGGTGCCCTCAATCATTTCTCGAGCCTTCGTCCCGCTCGAAGAGGCGCCCCAGTCGAAAGACCAGCACCGTGTGGGCCTGCCATTCAGACGAGAGCCCTAGACGTTTCAAAAGTAGCACGTTGCCCTGCACCCTTCCAGCGAGTAATTAGTAACGCGCAGAGGCATGATGAATCACACCCGACAAAAAACCCAAGCAGTGGATGGTTTGATCGAAAAGGAGATCGACCTGGAACCCGGGAACCCGGAACCCACCGAGATCGGCCCGG